GTAGGAAGAAATTTAACGGCTAATAGCTAGCCCAATTAGGGATCCTTTTATATAAGGACTCTAGTTTAGGTAAGGATCCACCCTAGTTTGTAGGGGTAGGTCCCACTTCCTGTAGGCCGCCTACTAATAGTAGTCGGCTGCCTTATACCCGACCGTAGCACTAGGTGTGCCTCGGCCGTAGCACTAGACTAGGCATGCCTCAATTGAGCTATCCCAGCTCAGTACTCTACTCTATAGCTAATTGTACATATTCGGTAACAATTATTTATAATAATATTTATATTGGGTCGGATTCGCAGGAAGGATAATCCGGCACTATATTAAAGCGCTAGATTAATATAAAGCTCTATAATGTTCGTTAGCGGAAGAATAGAGTTTGTATAAGTATAAAAGAGGTTTAATAGAATATATTTTATTATAATTAATAGCTATTAATATATTTTTAAATTGACTCCTAATTTGCCGTCCCCTACGTATAGCTACGACCGTAGTCACCTCAACCTACCTTTCGCCTACGTTCCTAACATAGAAGTTAGAGAATTATTTATATTATATCCGCCCGTACCCTCGATTCTCAGTCTTCGTTTATTACTGCTACCCCCCGCTCTATTTAATCGGCCGGCTAAAAAATTATTACTAAATTCTTTAAAGCGTTCTATAAATATTACTATATTAAATTATTAATTAAAATAGTACTAATATATAGAGTTCTAATTGCTTTAAAAAATAAATTCCGGAATAAGAAGGCGCTGTCCGATATATTTGTACTTAAAGAATAGCTAGTAAAATAATTTATAAGGCTAGGGTTAAATTACGACCTCTATATAGTATTTAAGGATAGTATTAAAGACTTCCTCAAAATTAAACATACAATACTAGTAATATAATTAAATTATAATAAATATACTCTCTAATTCCTATTACCGTAATTTAACTAATTAATATATATTTTAGACCTGCGATTTAATATTATACTCGAGTACGGTATTACTAGAACTTTCGCTTTTATAGCGGGTAGTACTATTACTAACAGTCCTAACGAGCGATAATAATATTATAAATCGATTTATAGCAAAAGAGGGGGGTTTCTAGCATTTTAGCATTATTATATAAATAAATACGATTTCTAGTACTTCTAGTATTTCTTGTATTTTTAGTATATAATTTAATTTAATATATATAAATCTATTTCTCCCTTCTATACTCTCTACCACCGCCCAAATACAATACCCGTCTCTCTATACTTAATTAATTTATTAATATACAATTCGCTATACTCTTTATTAATATTATTAAATTAATTTATTATTAGTTTTACATTCTTAAAATAATCATAAATTTATTATACTTTATACCCTACATTCTACGCTAATTGCTTAAAAAATATAATAAAATTATTATTTAACATTTTATTACTATCCTTATTATAATATACCTTCTTAAATTACCGCTTAAAATCGTTAAAATATACTTCAATAAAATTAAATTTAGGAGAGTATAGTAATAAATACTATAATAGAACCCCCTTCTAATTGTACGTATATTGGAATTCGGTACGGGGATATTAATTAGCGTTATCTATTATTAAAATACTATTGCAGTCGGGAAATAGATTTATTTTAAAGAGTAGGTATTTTACTATTTAGTCTTAAACCCCGGCTAAATCCGTTATACTTCTAAATACTAATATATTAAATAGTCTATTTACTATAATAATTAGGGGGAGGTAATATTGTATACTGTATATAAATTTATTTAATACTATTATAATAGTATTATAGGGTGCCTAGCTAATATAATAAACGCTGTCCCTTCGGTCTATACTAAATTCGTTACAAAATACAAACATTTTTCTAATAAATAAAAAGATCTTTAACATCTACTCAACTATTAGTATAGGGGATTATTATAATACTTTTATATAAAGTCGCTTCTTCTTCTACTTCTCCTATCGAAAGTACTGCCGTACAATTTTAATTGAAATGTATATATTATATTCGTTAATTAAAAAAGTATAAATTTCGTCGAAGTATAAATCGGGTTTTAATACGAGGAAATTTATAATTTCCTTTATAATATCAATTATAATTAATAAAATATAAGGAGCAATATAATATACGTTATACTTTCAGCGTTTATATAAGAAGTTTTTTAATATTCTAGGAAGTTTGCAATAGTAAAAATACTTTACTAATATCTAATAGAATACGCTTATATTTCTATACATTCTTTATACTTATACTAATAATTTTAATAATATTATTAGGATATTTATTATTTACTAGTATTATTGTTATTAATACCTTCTAACGGGTATTAGGGTAGCGTACTATATTAATAATAGTTTAAAAGATAATATAAATATCAAAATAGATAATTGTACAACGTAGAGTATTAAAATATCGACTTTTTATACTAGTTTTAGCTAGATTTCAATATTAAACGATTGAATTAAATTGTGTAAAGCGATGTCAAATGGCTAGATTTGTCAAATGCGGTGTGTGTGTGTGTGCACGCACACACACCTCTTGCCAAGACTGCACAGGCGATTGAGTGTGGGAATGGAACAGTTGGTGAAGCTGCAGCTGGAGTGGTCCGGGTGTCGCTCGCCACTGCAGTGGACAGCGAGAGGGCAACAGCACCCGACACCGCGGTCTTGGCATCGCAGGCCGCTAGTACCAACAATGTAGGACCTTAGTGTTACTCGCCGAGAAGATACTATAGAACCAAGGAAGTCGCCTGTCGCTTACCCTATCATGTATGCTGGATAGACGTAAATTTGATGAAGGGCCTTTCCTGTGACATTGTTCGTTCTTGTTTGGGTTGAAAGAGGCGAGTGTCTGCAGCGAGTTGTCGAGCTCATTGGCGAATTTGTTAGTGCACGCTACGTACCAGTCCAGTGCTGGTTTGTTGGTTGGCTTGGTACACCAGGCACTCCTACAATATATATTGTGCATTAGAGGACATCTATTTCTAATGGTCCTAAAGCTTATATAAATAGTTCAAAATGTATTAGCAGGGTTTCATCTAGCATTTTGAATATTAGAGATGGCATGGCCAAGGTAAGATTATGCATTAGTTAGCCATAAAAACATATAGGAAAGTTGATACGAGGTCTCGAACTAACAAACAAACCAGTTCTGGACTGTACATATCGCGGAGCGGGGTCAGGAACAAACCCGCTATTTCGGGGGGCCGACGCCGAGTTCCCCCGCACATGTTTCCTGCTGCTTCATCCTGGGCTTCAGGTTTGTGTGCAAGACCGGGATGACATCAACGCAAACGACCGGACCTGGAGCACCACTTCCTTTTGTCAAAATCGCGGCAATCTAACATGGGATCGCACGGAGCAAAAGCCCAAGCCTTCTATGGCGCCGTCATCCACTCGCTGTCAACGCCTGGCCATGACCTTGAGATCCTTCCTGCCGCCCTTTTGATCGTCGAAGCGCGGGGCGTAATCACTGCCTTTCACAAAGAAGTGAAGCCGGGAGAGGTTGGCAGCCTCATGTAGGTAGACCTTCTGATGATACTGATTATCAGTCTCGTATCAAATATTCAGCTACCTCTACCTACACTAATACATCAACCCCTAGAGACACCGCCACCACAACCCTTCACTATCTCTCCCCTTCCCAATCCATCATCCCCGGTTTCATCGATACACACAACCACGCGCCCCAATGGGCCCAACGTGGTCTCGGACAAGGCCAACACATCCTGGACTGGCTTTCCGCAATCACCTTCCCCAACGAAGGTCGCTTCCGCGATCCCTCCCACGCGCAGCGTATTTACTCCTCCGCTATCGATGGCTTCCTTCGACAAGGTATCACCACCGCTTCTTACTATGGCTCCATCCACCCCGAGGCAACCAACATCCTCGCCGATCTCTGCCTGGCCAAAGGCCAGCGCGCATTCGTAGGGAAATGCAACATGACGCGCAACTCCCCTGACTATTACCGCGATGCGTCTGTCGAGCAGTCCCTTCAAGATACGGAATCCTGCATCGCCCACATCCGGAAGATTGACCCCGAAGGAAAGCTACTGAAGCACGTCCTCACCCCTCGCTTTGCCATCTCCTGTGACGCCGAATGTCTTGCTGGCCTCGGGCAAATAGCAGCTCAAAACCCTGACCTGCCTATTCAGACGCACTTCAACGAAGCAGAGCAGGAGATTACCGCTACCCGCGAACTCTTCCCTCAGTTCTCCTCCGAGGCCGACCTTTACCACCACTACGGCCTTCTGACCAAGCGGTCCATCCTCGCGCACTGCTGTTACATGGCCCCCCACGAATTCGACAAGCTGAAAGAGCTGCAGTGCGGCGTGGCTCACTGTCCGATAAGCAACATGACAGTGGGCGGCGGGTTCATGGCCGCCCCTATCCGGGAGTTTCTCAACCGCGGAATCAAAGTCGGTCTGGGGACTGACAGTGGAGGAGGGTTTTCGTCTTCGATGCTGGATGCGATAAGGCAGGCCATGATTGCTAGTCATGCGCGGGAGGTCGAGTCGAAGGGGAGAGATAAGGGGTTGAAAATTGCCGAGGCCTTTTATTTGGCAACATTGGGAGGCGCCGAGGTTTGTTGTCTCGAGGACAAGGTGGGGAATTTTGAGGTGGGGAAGGAGTTCGATGCGTTGGTGGTGGACTGGCAGAGGGACGGGGTGATGACGATAGTAGAGGAGCAGGACGAATTGGGTACGGTGTTCGAGAAGTTTGTGATGACAGGGGATGATAGGAATATTGTGAGGGTGTTCGTGAAGGGGAGGGTGGTGAGGGAGGTGAAAATATGAAGGCGCGCATGATAAGAACTACCTACCTGGTTGAGATGGCCCGTCGTGGATGGTGGAAGGAACAATGTTTTTGGAGCAACAATAAAGTGTGGACTGGAGCTGGAGAAGCTTAGCCTCTGTTCAGTAGGTAGGTCTTTGGTACACTTTTGGATCTAGATTCAAAGCATTGACTTCTACCTCTAAGCTCAAACAATGCCTAACAGCCTCTAGCTGATATGTTCTTGGCTTATTGTGAGGCATATAGGAGCCTTACAACGGACTTTCTGGCCAAGCCGAGCGGCATTATGCTGTTCATACTACCTCCGGGTTTTTTTTACAATCACTTCAGAAATCCACATTCTTGCTTGCAGGCGGTGGTACAATAGATAATTCAGCTAGGCGAGAGGTTTCACACAAGTACAGCGCTCGCCCAAACATCTCATACAGTAACATTGAAAGGTTTATTACCAGTTGAAATCTGGAATTCCACAGGTACCCTCGTCCGAGACAAGAAAGATGAGACCAACCAACAGGTTAGGTAAACCAGTCCGCTACCGTCCCCCAAGATATCAAGAAAAAAGAAACAGAAAAAAAAGAGCCATAGCAAGACTGTGATAGGGATTAGAACAATTCGAAAAGACATCGGCTAGAGTTCCATTTGGATATTTCTATTCAGGAATTGCCTAGAACTCAAGTCCAGAGGTGTAACAAAGACACTGGATGCGTGGTAGGAGTATACCTCTACCCAAGGTTTAATGTTCAAGGTCTCAACTATTTTGTGCAGGACCACCTTCCGTAAGGTCCGTTTGCCTTGGCGCCCATCAGGTTCACTAGGTGCATTTAAGGCTCCCCTCATCGGCCTGGCACTCATATTCACTGATCTTTCCTTCACAGGCACTCCCATTCACTGCACTTCCCTTCACCGGCACTTTCTTCCAGTATTTCTTGGCTGCTCTTTCCACTTTCAGAAGTATAAGAAATGGAATTCTGTCCCTTCCAGCTCAGTCCCAACCGCACATTTCTTCCAAGTCCCGTCCATTCAGACAAACTCGCCCAAAGGACTCGGCAACCGCGTCAACTTCGACACACATCCCTAGCCCGCATCCTCAATCTCTTGGGAAGATTTCAAAATGTTTACCTCAGTCCTAAAGTCCCTTGTCGTCAGCGGTACCCTCGTTGTCAGCCTTCTAAACCCGACCGCTTTCGTCCTGGCCGCTCCCAGCCCGGCTATCGCTGATCCCATTAGCACCAGCCCCAATGTCCCTCTCAGCCCGGAAGACGCTTTAGCTGCATACACCCGCTACGGTCCGTTGAACAACCGTGAGGACGAGGGCTTGGCCTTGAACGTGAGGAAGGACCCACCCAAATGGACGGGCGGTAACAACGAGGTTATTCACTTCTTCAACTGCCAGAAGAGACCCAACTGGGGTCATGGAACCGATTCCTTGGTTGTGGTATGTTCGCTTTCATTTGTTTTTCCTCAGACAGGTTCCAGTCTTGCAGCTCCGGAGCCTCCGGGTGTGACTTGCAAAGGTAACAGCTGTACTGACAAAAACACAAACAACAACAGATCTGCGAAGACGACAAAAACTGCCACGACCTCAACTACCTCCCCCCGGACGACTCTCTTTGCCTGATGGACCGCTTCGACGACGACGGCATCTTCCATGTCTGGGAGGGCTCGGTGCAGGGATGCCTGTTCATCAACTACAACAACATGTTGAGCTGGAACATCACCAAGGATGCGCAGAAGCAGGCGGACTTTACCACTGTTGGGTGAGTTGTTTTGTTTTCCTTCCTTTTTGCTGTGAACTTTTGAAGGAATTGGATGAAGGCGGGGTAGAATGAATTTGAGTGTTTAAGAAGGATGAATGGCTAACATTGAGTGATGCAAATAGTTTTTTGACCTCTGATACCTTCGTCTACCAGGGTTTCAAGGATAGTAAGCCCAAAGGTTTGGCTATTCCCTTTCGTGACTGCCAGAGTATTTATTACTTCACGCTTCGGAAGGATCTGCAGCTTGTTCATGGCAACTGAGGGTTCGCCCTCCCGGATGGAGGCGGCCAACGGTCAAGTCTTCGCAGTAGGTTGTATGATCATGAGGTTTCTTTTGAAAGTCTGAAAGACTCCACTCACCCCGGCATAATACCTGAAAGAGAAAAAACAAAAAAAGAGAGGAAGAGGGGCAAGATGAAGGGAAAGGTCGGAAAGAACAGGAGGAATCAAGATGGGGGGACGAAAGAATTAGGAGAACGCCTACATACCTAGGTAGTAGTTATAATCAAAGTAAAGTGCTCTGATTTTCTTCCCGCCGTTGCCGAACGTCGTCATGTGGTCTTGGAGTGGTCATGTTCCATCATTACCTACCATCTACCATGTTCATCCCCAGCGTCTCTACGATCCTATAGTAAGACTTCCCTCCAGTCCCAAATCCTCAAGCCCATCACAAATCCCACCATACTCGATGTTCAGAGCCTGCTTCCTCTTTTGGAACTCTCCATGCTCTTGAGCGATCACGCCACGCCTCTATATAAGTGTTGCCAGTATGACCCCGTCATCCCCGCTTCGTCCATCCCCAGCTCTTCTTTCCTTTTCATTGCTTTGAATGTTGGTCTTGGTTATGAGCGACGTCGGCGGACTTGAGCACTTCGTCGGGCTTGGACACGGAGGCTTCGGGGCCACGCAATGGACCGGGCGGAGATGGGATCTGATCAGACTCGGTGCCAGGGCTGGGACCGAGCTCTCCTTCAGGAAAAGGGGACACAGTGGTGTTGCGAGGTTCAGACATTGTTCGATCGTAGAGGTACCTCAGTTGTTAGCCTATGCGCAGAATGATGCGATCTTCCAACAAACGGAAGCCAGAGGAGGCATGATTAAAATACTCAGGCTTTCGCAAAGACCAATGATCTCGCTGATGCTGACTCGGCGTTGAGGCTTGAGACTGATGCAACGTCGGATGCGGTTCCTGGACAAAGAAGATTGTACGACGGACTTGAACTGATCAAGCTCCAAAATTGCAATTTTGTTGGGTTTCCGTCGGTGTACGCTACTGTACTTACCTCTAGGTACCTAGGTACCTACCTGGTAGGATTCGGAATGTGGTTGCTGGTTGCTCTTTCCAGCTTATCTGAGGTTGGCCGAGGCATGCCATAATTGTCCCGAGTTTTCGGCCACCATCGGGTGCTCCGGGCTCCCGCCGCACTGGAGTTCCCGTGGGTTCGTGGCCTTGTCAGCATTTGATTGTCCGAGAGATCGCATGGCCATGTCCCCTTGGATGGGGGTGTAGCGTAGTAGCACGAGTACCTGCAATCCCAACCCACTTCTATTATGAGTCTCTGTATGAAGCTGCATCAATCCACCCCAAGCCTGCCCCTGTTGTAGGTGCCAGCTGCAGTCATTGGTGCTTCCGGTACCGGGTCCGGATCCCGAAGGACCCCTCTTCTAACCAGAGGTACCTAGTGTAGGTACATACCTCTAGATAGATACATATTTCTTGTTGCGTTAAATCCTTTTGTGGATCCTGTTAACGCCTTGGATCTTCCACTAATACCTTACCTCTATCCTTTCTTGAATGCGTCAACAAAGTTGAGAGTAGCTCGTAGGCATTGCAGGATTCGCTCATTCTACAGAAAAGAGTTGAATAACAACGATTGTTCAATCAATCAACCCCAAAGCTACCTAGATACTATCGCTTGATAATAGCCTCCCAGTCCCTCGCACTTTTCAACATATTACTCGCATACTCCTTCTTAAGCGTCGTGAGCTTGTCGATGATATGCCCCGTCGCTACCGCCTGCGGCCCCCAAACCCTCAATGCGACATCCGCTGCCCTCTCCAGCCAAACAATCGCCTGATCCAGATCCCCCCGTTTCTCATGAATCTCCGCGACGTCCTCCATCGTGTGCGCTGCAATGCCGTCTTGGTGAAAAGCAATCTTCGGGTCATTGGCTAGCCCCTCGGGTGGCGGGCGGCGAATGACAGCCATACAGTGCTGCAAAGCTTGATCACCGTCGTCCACAACCATGTAGAAGTGCGCCAACTCATTCTGAACTGCACGCGTCTGTTCCGCGTATGGTCCGAATTCTTGCCGGCAGGCTTTGAAGAGCTCCGTGACAATGACCATTGCCGCATCGAACTCGCCGTTGCGACGGAGGAGAGTGGCCAGGGAGTCAAGGAGTTTGAAGGAGACAAAACGTCGTTGGCCGAGGCGGCTGAACAAGTCCACCATACACTGCAGAGCGCGGCGCGATATTTCCTGGCAGTCTTGGTCGTTGCTGAGCTCGGTGCAGATGCGGGCGATGGGGTGTGTGGGTGAGAAGTTGTTATTGGCTTCGCTCTTGAGGAACTGCAGGAGGATGATCCGAAGTTCAGGACGGGCGCGGACGTTGGCTGGCGAGAGCGTGGCGAAGAGGTTGCGGAGGAAGTCAAAAGGTTGGCTGGTCATGGCGGCTGCGGCGTCCCGACCAGCTTCGGACAGGGCCGGCCATGCACGGAGATCAGGTCGTTGAGTGGCATCTGACTGCGCTGAACTGGCCGAGAGCTTGATGAGGTAGATTGCGTTCTTGATAGAAGACCAGTACTGCTGTGATGCATCGGTTGTCCCTTGTCCGAGGAAGTCATCGGGTGATATGCCGTCTGGTACGTTGCGTATCTGCCAGTCATAGTAGTCACGGAGGCTGAGAGTGATGATGTCCAGTGTCCGCGTCCTGGAGTCCGGGGCGATGAATGGCGGCGGTGACTCGGCAAGGGCGCGGATTTGTGCCTTGAAGTTGGAAAGATTTTGTGGGTTGGGCAACCTGGTGTGGACTAATTGCTTGTCCTTATCTCGGTTCTGATCCTCAGACCAAGCACAGCTCGATGCAGGTGTAGCGCATGATTGACCGCCAGGTGTCGAGGAAGAGAAAGCCGGTGACGAGCACGTTTCGATGGTTTCGGCAGGAGACTCGGATCTCTGCTTCGGCTGGGGGGCTGTTTCAATGATAAGATCCGCTATGCTCAAGGCCGATCGGGTAATTGGTGGGCTCATGGCTCGCTGATGTACTGGTGCTGGTGACGTCCCTATGGACTTGGTACTTGGACTGGATATGGTGATGGACAGGGATGTGCAGGGGCTCGTCGACCGTTGTGAACGCCTCCGTCTCTCATGTGGTGATAGCAAGGGTTGTGTGTACGGTGGTGTTTCCCCCATGCCGTCCCGGTTATTTATATTATGTTGTGCCGCAGGTGAGGCATGGCCGTGCCTCCGAGGCGAAGTGGATCCATGGAATCGGCCAGGACGTACATGCCTATCCTTTTCATCACTGTTGACATTTTTAAACACATTCCATTCCCGGAACCTCTTGTCATACATGCGTTTGCTGGTGTCCGACAGGGTGAGGTTAGCAAAGGGAATCTCGATCAGCGTCATGTTGGTTTTGTTTTTTTGGAGGTGGTGTGATGTGACAAGGGAAGGCAGAGTGAGATGAAAGATAGAGGGTATTGGAAGGTATGATGATGACAACGAGAGGTCATGGGAAACATGATGACATGGAAGTGGCCATTATTATAGTTGAAGAGGACGTGATCAGATACACATGAATGCCAGCAATGGCATAAGGGAACGGAGACGTGACATAGATGAGCTGGATTTCGGTGCTGTGGTCAACAGGGCGTGGAGCCAGCACATGCGGCTAGCTCACATGAAAGCTGCGACTCGATGGGTGAGTGCATTGATGGGACAGGACAGGGTGTCTCTGACGGGGTGCAGATGTTGTGTCCATGCTGAGACGGGGACAAGAACACCTCGTAACCAAGACGCCATCGATTGTTTGAAGGAGCTGATAAAGACGGACTAAAGGGACGCCAAAATACCTTGCCGAGAAGTTGTATTGACTCCTCATTATATCGCTTACTTTCTTGAGGGGGTACTGTCTGTAGAGGTCGACGATGATATCTCGATGGCGGGCCCAATCCTGCGCGGACGGGCCCTGGAGCGTGCGCGTACTGGACTGTTGCTGTCCCAGCCCTGGAGGTCTTTGCAAGTGAGGAGCGCCAGGCACCGGCGCTGTTCCTATTGACATGGCCAAAGGAGGAAGTCGTTGCGAAAATGTGGATGATAAGGGTCGTGCTGACGCCGACGAAAGAGAGACGGGTTGCGGTTGAAGTGCGTGTTGTTGTGGAGGTGCCAGTGGATGTGATTGAAGGCCCGGGACGGCGGGAGCATCTGCACGGGTCATGGTCATCATCAGGGCCTATCCTTGAAATCCGAGCGCTTTGTAAGAAGAGAAAAGCGAGCTAGGACAGGAAGCAGCAAATGATGGAACAAACTGAGAGAGAATCCGGTGGCCGAAGGGGGGGTGGTTGGGCACGAAACTGAACGAACTGGAAGATGGAATGGAAAATGCGGAGCGCCAGCATGCCCCAAGAGACGGGATGCAAGAACCTCACTTTTTTAGTGCCGCTGCGTTCAGTGCAGAAAGCCGTGAACCGCGCATGACGCCAGTGGGCGGCCGCCCCTACCTAACCCGTTATTCCCTTGGTCGTCAGGCATTGGTCGCCATCCGCCAAATGGCGGTGGGGACTGTTGCCCAAACACGGCCGCCCATGTAACCCCCCGCTACCACCTGGACTACACCTAGAAATTCTTCCAAATAGCACCTGGCAAAAGTCTCCCATTGCCAAAATGCCACCTCCCGAGGACAATGGCATTGAGGCTGCCGGTATCGACCACGCCTCGTCCGTCTGTTTATTGCCTCGACCATTCTATCCTAGAGGTAGGTACCTCTACTGACTTGACTTCCAGAACACCGCACAATGGCACTGCCTAGCATCGCCATCGCCTGACGATCGCTGAATCAATGAGCCTCCGACGGAACACTTTTCTGCTGAGCACGACGTTTGGGGGCCGATCACACCGTCGCAATGCAACCTCACCTCGTTGTTCGACCAAGGGACCGACGACGACCAGCTAGCACCGCATCTCAACCATATTGCAGCCGGCAAAGGAGCAAATTTCACCTGCCGACACAAGAGGTGATTAGCTTTTTGTACGAAGCCAGAACACTATTACGACACAAAAGAGAAACCGCGCGCGTGGCACAGCATCTCCCAATCTGAAAAGAACCTTGCATATGCCGAGATCAGCTAGTGTCCTCCCATGCTGCGATGCAGAGAATGCCAACGCCCGAGAGGGCTGACTCCGGGGGCCACGATATCAACCCCTGGCTGGCGTGGTGCCCTTTAAACGCCACCACGATCACCTGTCGGCTGGAGACAGCTGCTCTTGTTTCAGCCATCATCATACAGTTTGACAAGTGTACCTCGATCGTTTGCGGTTTGATGGAGGCTTGATGTGAGTTTACAGCAAGTGATTACATGTGGGACTCACTTGTACATGTCCATGCCGACCTTGACGGTCAACTGCTAGGCCAGGGTCTAACTACCTACCTATTGAAACTCCGAGTACGTGTCCAACCCCAACTCGGATCATCGTCCACAGCGGACACATATGTCACAATCCGTTCGTCTATTATCATGCTGTTGCGCACATTTGAACATGTCGACTAGAGCTATCTTCAACATGATGTCTTGTTCGGAGATCTTGACAATATAACCTTGCGGCGACCTGCATTTGTCCCTTGAAGTATACCTATATGCACGGTTCCTTCTCCAGATGTTCGGTACACCATCTTGCAGAGGAAATGTTTTCCCTCGTACGTGCTGTGTGTGGAAAATAAAGGCCTGCAGGGGCAGTCAGGGCAGTATGACCAAAATACCAGAGCCGGGGATCGTGAAGTGCGTGAAACTCGAGGACAAGATACGATAAAAGCCACCAGGGAACATCCAATGGCAAGGACTGGCTAGAGACAAAGAAACAAAAAAAAAAAGGCGGGGATTCACGATGTGACACGAAGGTGACCGACAGGAGGGAGACATGGATGAGAAGAACTTTGCAGTAGTGTCATTTCTGTCACACGCGGATGCTGACGGCTTCTCACCCTGTTTCGTGTATGACCTCCACATTAACCTTTTACTCCATGTCTTCAAAGCGCCGATACCGCCAGCTCCAAATCTTCAAGCGAGGCCTCCCAAGAACCAAATCAATAAGTAGAGGTATGCCGCCCAACTCCATGACAAATGGAACCCATATGCAACCATAGACAGCGCCCTTTTACATCCAGTCTGCACCCTACACCATGGACTCCTTTTGCTCAGAGGTAACCCAACTACCTAGTCGATGAGATCTTGCCCTTCTCGATGATTCTTGATAAAGTCGAACAGTGCCGTTATTACGCAGAGTGGCCTGTGAGCGATAGGTAAATTAGCCAAACAATTCCCTCATAGGTATTATTCGTATGCAGTGAAAATGCAGTGGGGGAAGGTAAGTAAGGAAACAGGAAAGGGCAGAAACTGGACAGGACGGTGATAAATGCCTCAAAAGGCCGCCACAATGTCAATCAGGTAAGGTATGCAAGAGCCGAGGTGGGTGGTGAAAAGACTCAAGATAGGTAGCGCATGAGCGGGAATGACCTTGAGGGTGGCTTAGACTCTGTGTTTGGTGATGACTGATGAACCGGCCTTCCGTCCACCAATCCTCACCCACTCACCCAGCCATCCAACTGCCAGTCACTTCCAAGATGATGCTTTCTCTCAAGCTACCATTGGGCTTGCAGTGAAGGATGGTGATCAGTCAGCCACCACGCATATTGGCAATATCGAGAAGCACTCGCTCTCGTGGGAACGCGTCTAAGTTGTGGATGTCCTGGTTGCCAGACATTTCACTCTGGCCTTTTGTCGGTAGGTTCCGGGCAGGAAAGGAGACAAAAAAATAGGGAGAAAAGACTCACGCTTGCACGGCACCCAAGACCAAAGGAGCAATGAGACTCCTTTCACTTTCACTCATGCCCAGGTGCCTACCACCAACACTAGACAACCTGATTCCCATGGCTCCCGCTAACCCTATCCCTGCACCAGCAAGAAGCAAATTAAACACGCAACAGGAGACTGTTACGATCTTCTTACGCCAGTGCTGCTCGCCTTCTGTGAGATTGACCTTGGCAGAGGTGCTCTCGACGGCGAGCAGAGCGGCAAAAATTCCAATGTTGAGAAGTAGACCTATTGTTCCCTGGTCATGTTTGTTAGCAGATTATTGACGCAATACCCTGTAAATTCACGGAAATGTGGAGGAGCTAAGTAAGGGCCATTATCTTGTGCTGCGCTGGAACTGACGGGTGCAATGTATTCTGCATTTCTTTGATGCAATCAACACTGGGAAGGGAGGAGAGATTGGTGTAGTGCTGCCATGAGACGGTCATGATGGTGAACAAGTGAAACTGACCGTGCTGACGCTTCTGCGCCTATACCAACACGAAAGAAGAAATGACTTACCACAATGACCGAAGCGACCGGCAACAGCTCATTGACAATAATCCCAAAATTGCTATGCCCGCTTCCACTCTTTCCATCAACACCACTGCCCAAGCCCTGTACCAGTACAATGGTGCATGACTTAGTATCAGCATTAATGACCGTCTGGTCATCCGACATGTTCATGACTATTGACGTTGGTTGCTGTGATACGGAGTCAAAGTTGTCGGCCTCGCTCTCCAAGTTGTGGATGAAGGCCACGACGCCGGCTATTATCAGTCCGAGGTGGCCAAGGATACAGAGAATGTGAGTGAGCTTCCACCTTGGGTGATTGGTTCTGTACATGGTGATTGTGTATGGGTTGATGGCAGGCGCGTGGTTAGTTGTGACCGGTAAATAACGAGGTCGACGAGGATGGTGACGGTTAGAGTGGATACATGTAATAAAATTGGTAAGCGGTCGAAGGCAAAACTGATGACAATCTCAGGCGAAGATCTAATGCGCAGGCCACCGTTTTCTAAAAAGATGACTAGGTAGGACGACAGTGGAAACAAAGCGCAAGTAGACAAGTCGATTCAGCATGGTACTGACTTGAGAAAGGGATGCCATGTATATAAGGCACTTGCCATAGCCTGGCTGACACTAGACAGCATACATGGACTCGGCCAGCCCAGGAATAACACCAACCAACATCCGATTGGTACAAAATGTGACCGAGTTGTTGCCCTTGATGATGCGCCTTGCGGTCCTGCGGCGTGCACCGGACTGTGCTCAGGGGCCAAGGGGTTTGAAGAGACGGCTATCCTGGTTTGTTCCTGAAAGCGCCGTGTTTCTTGGGCAGCTTCCCAATCTGGACGTGAGCTCTCACGAAGGAAGAAAAATAGGTGGATCAACGTAGAGTAACTTAGTCGATGGCAATTGACGTTCGCAAGGATGTAAGAGGTACCTAGCTATGTTAGGCTGAAAACTGGTAAAATAAAACAATGGTGGCATGGAGATCGGGTTGTTAGCGTCTCCAGGAGGAGAAAGGCTTGGGTGGTTGTAGCTCCACACCCGCCTCCTCCTGGTATATCATGCTCGCTCACTGCCACAATAGCTCTTTGCAACTGCGTATGACGAGATGTTAAGCGACGGTACAGGTACCGGTCAAGGGAAGCCGGTTCGTAGTATCTTTGTTCTTCATGTGGTATGTCACGGAAAGCGGAATCAGCCACGGTCCAGCGTTCGGGTCCCTTGTCCATAAGATGTTTTCTTTGCGATCAAACTTCCTATATTGCGTCTTAGCCCAATTTCATAAACCGAACTCACCGCGCGTTTCAAGATCGTGGTTCTGGTAATGGCGATGCTTTGGCGTCTTTGGAGCACATTGAAACTGATGGTTTGGCCGTGATTTCGGACCCAGGTCTGTTTGCTGGCCTGCTCCCAGCGCTCGCCGACCGACTTGCTAATTTCGAAGGATAGGTTTTAGCTCAGGCCCGAGCGGGAACCAGACGCACGGGATTGAACCTTCTGAGTAGCGTAAGGTGTCTTGTGTGAGCCATAGGGCTGAACCACATTGCACGACTTAACCGCTGGGTCGCCCTCCGATCTCAGATCTATGAATGGATGACCATTCCGGGCGAGGGAGATGATTGGTGCCCCTGGTTTAGCAGTCAATTGGACGTTATAACCAATCACTTACCAGCACTTTATGACTGACAGCGTCCCTGACTGCTATGCCGATTGCTGACGGACAACGTTGACATGACAGGACCCCACCCAATTGCCCTCGATAGAAACCCTGTGAAGGCTTCACCGTTTCCATGTCAAAAGCAAAATTGAGAGTTCATTTGCGACTGAGTCAGATGGATGCCTTGTGGTTCAAACTGTCCCCATGCTCTCTGGATTGATTGGTGCCTAGAGGCCCCGGTTTCTGAGGGGTAAACACTGCCCGTAAGGTAGTTGCTTGATCGATGTCATTGCGCACTTGCGTATAAAATAGGTACAGTCGAACCCCCTGAAACTGCATGTAATTCAGACCGCCAAAATCCATGCACTAAATGGCGAATATGCAATTTCTAGAAATCACGTGAGAGGAATGAACAGGGGTCATTTACTATGGGAATCTACTCTAGAAACTTCTCCTCCTCCTCGTACTGCCCACCAGACTTCCAGAAATCTAATAAAGTAGTTTACTTAGAACAATTAAATAAGTATCCCTCGATCTTCCTTTTCATCTTCCTAAGTACTATTACGTCATTAAAGTCAAATAGAGTCTTTTCAACTACCCAATCCAGCACATCAATAAAACTCGTTACCACCGCTTTTAAACTAATAATACCCGGCAACGTAAAATCTTAATCATCCTCGTCATCCTCATCATTACGAATATCTTTTAAACTAATTTACCAATTAGAAATAACATTTTATAAGATATCCTCAGCACTTAAAGACTCTCCTAGAGCCTAGTTCTCGTCGGTAAAGTTAAGAAAGTTATTCAAATCCATCTTATTACGGATATAAATAATAATAGTAGTATAGTCGTAGAATCTACGTATATTACTAAATACATCAATAAACTCCCCTTCCAATAAAGAATCTCCTAATATTATTAACCGCCGCCAACAATTAATAATAGTCTCTTACTTAAACTCAAAGAACTAAATATCGCTAACCCAATTAAAGGAGAGATGAAGGTTCATCTCCCTAATAGGGTTAACGCTAAAGTTGGTAACCGAATACTTAATTATAGTCATATACAGCCACTTAAGGTAACGACGACGGTATTATACCTTAAAGCTGTTGATAATCCCTTGATCCATTGGTTAATATAGGGACGTAACATTGGGAGGGAGGAATCTAATAATAATATTATCGGGTAGAGGGGCAAGCTTAAAACTAAACTAATAACTAGAAAAGTTATCTAATAATAAAAGCACACGCTAGGTAGGCTTTTTATAAACAATATAAATATAAAAGGCCTAGAACCACTCCTCTATAATTACTCCCGTTATTCAAACTTTCTTATTACTTCTCTAGACAATACGGTGACCATCCCAATTAAAGTATTTAATTACGCGGAGGACCTTTACTTTACCAATAGCCTAAATTTCAAAAGCGTTATCGCTAATATTATTTATTATTAATACTAAAAAAATACGTATCTTATCCCACTTAACACTAAGAAGGCTAACAAAAGCAAAACCTATAAAAGGAGTACAGCGCTAATACAATCCAATCTTATCTATATTGTAGATATTACCGGGAGAGAACGTAGCGGTAAACTTTTTAAAATCTATTATAGTTTGAATTGTAAAGGAATCCCTAATAAAAGCGTTAACTACCTCCCTATAGAATACGCACTCAAAGATATTATACCGCTATTTAAATAGTTAATACTACTTCTTACTAAAAGGAGGGCATTAAAAAGTATCAATAGGCTCGTTATTTCGTACTTTAGGGTACTCCATCCAGATTTAGCGTGCTTTTTATTGTAAAAGCTCTATTAAAGTACTAAAGCCGTAAAATTGAATAGCCTTCTATTACTTGAAAAAGATTTCTTCAAGTATTAGCTACTATCCAATACGCAAGCGCTTACCCTTAAGCTACTAAGCTTCATAATTAATATAAGGGAGATTTGGCGGATTATTCTTCCTATTAAAATAGTAAGAAATAGTATATTATAGGAACTCCACGCCGTACATACGTTGAATCCATCCTTAAACAATACATTAAGACGGGCGAAACTACTAGGAATAGAACTATTATTGTAATTTAAACTTCTATACCCAAGTAAGAGATTCTTTAGTAGGGTTAGGGGTAGATAAGGGTATAAAGGTATCCTAGTAAATATAACGTTACTTGGATACCTTCTTAGACTTCGAATTGCGGGCCATAATAGAGAATGATAGAGAATATTTTAGGGGACAAAATTACTAATAAATCACTACAAAAAGTGGTCTCTAGAACATAGGGAAGCACAAAGAGCACAGAGCTAGCGGGTCATATACCTAGTAAAACAAGGTCTGGGGGGTAATCTAGGCCTCGGTTTAGGCTACAACACCAAAAATCCCTATATTTTCCCCTCTTAAAAGCTGTCTCTAGTTAGCCATAACCCCTTCCTACCTAATACAACCCCCTCCTCTTGGCGCATAAACACCATAGATCGTATACAGTATACAAATATACAATTGTGAATAGCTTCTAATTCAGACCGCCGATTCTTATGCTCTAACTGGCGTATATGCAGTATCTGGAGGATGCAGTTTCAGGGGGTTCGACTGTACTAGCCTAGAGGTGGGTAGGTACGAACTGTCTGTCTGCACCATGCCCCGCTTACCAGGTATGTGCCACGCAATTGGATAGGCGAAACACAGGTACTTGTCGGCACTCTTCGGCAAAAGTGCAAATCTGATTCTGACATGATTAGAAATGAATCAGATGAGGCCAGCTTCAATCTGATATGTCTAGAGGTAAAGAATCGATGTGTTGCTCTGTACACTGCGGTCTGCGTTGAGTGGTTTCGAATTGGGTCTGTGCCCGCTGTTTGGGGTTAAAGGCCGTCGCCACCAGTCACGGGGTCCCCATGACACTGCAGGAAATACCAACCAGCGGAGGGGCTGACTTGGCGTGGGGTCGGCTTAGGTCATGTTTTCGTTTTCATTCTTTGGTTCTCACCACGATAGCGATAGGTAGGTAATGACGGGGAAAAGCGACGGGAGGCTGGAGCGGCTCAAGCATCATCGACAGTGTGGGCAAACATTTGAAGATCGCAACAAGGGAGTGCGCTTGGTGCTAGGTAGTTAGGTAGTAAGTGTGCTAACCGCCGGGTGGCAACGGCGATAGAGGCTCAGTGACGGCTGTTGATGGCTTCAATTTGGATACTAAGGGCCTTGGTTACAACTCTGTTTTTGCTGCCTGGACGACATGATGTACCCGAGTTCAACTCAGACGCGTAGTACTACCTACGACTAGGCAAAAACATTTTGAACCCACATTATCCGCATCCAGCCATACATTCAACACGAATAATGAAGCCTAAGATCGGAGCGTAGGTGCACATACGCCCACGCGCACGTGGTAACCGTCTTTCTAGGGTGTGACGAGACGTCGCACCGTACCTTTTTGTTGATCAATCATACTTAGCTGTACATAGTGTCTTGAGGACGTGATCGAGTTCTGCAGAGCCTGGGGGCGGTCACCCCTGTTGACGTGACAGTCCACGCCCCCGGAGCCAGGTCCGAATATCTGGGATTCCTTACCAGCAGTCTGGTCCACCAGCTTCAAGTGGAAGACCAGGCTTTTCCACACCAAGAATTCCGCAATCGCGCGGGAGATTTAGGCTTCCGTTTAACGCCCAGGAAGCCTTGGATGCCTTGAATACCTAGCCCGCTCCAAATCTGTCGCGCTACCTGCTTTCGAGTCACGGCCCCCAACTCGTACCTAAACTTCCACTTTTGATCACGACCTTCGTCGAGTTGGAGGAGGCTCATTGCTCTCATTTCGGACCGGCACAATGTTTCCACCGTGCCCGTTGCCGGGAGCAGTACCATCCATGCTGGAGCATCAATGGAGCTGACACCCGTCCGCCTTACCTCACCACACCCAGCTTATACCGCAGCGCCTCAGAGTGTCCGGGATGGGGTCTGAATCATCCGGCGTGCCATAAGGGCCGGGGGGCATCCAGATGAATAATGGCCGGGGGTCGAAAACGGAAGCCGGTACCTACCTACGGGCCCCGGGGTAGGTGCGAATCCACTAATTGAGCCCGGGACTAACAGCGGTTAACCGCTAACGCCATGCCGCAGTTGCACTTTGAACACGCATCACGAGATTGTCGTCGGCTTACCGAATCACCCAAAACCCGAGGCGAATCATCCCTCTACCAGACACACGGTTCATATCTCCACGGTCAACGCTCATTTTGCGGGAAGCAAGCTCAATTCCCTCGCGGCCGGACAGTACCTATCGGACAACCATCCCCACCGCGGTGGTGGTGCTGCGCAGTACATACGGCAATGTCTTGTCTGTTAGTGTTAGTGTTGAGGGTTACATGGCAAGGATAACAGCTCGACTCGCTTCGTCGAAGCCCCCATACCGGCACCTAAGAGATGACGGGAACGCGCTTACCTGTCGGGTATGTACCAGGAGGTTGATGACCCAAGGCCACCCGACCCGTCGTTCCCCGCCATCGCTTTTTTCGTCCAATCCAAGAAGCCAATTCGCGACAAATGACTACTACCTCTAGGTAGAAGATATACAATCACCAATGCCGTCCGGAGAAGAGTCACTGAGCAGGAAAATGACGGCGACACCGAAGGCACTGTCTCCACTGAAATGCGCGGTTCAGTCAAACGGTCCCGGAATGCCCCGCCGCACCGCTATGTCCAGTTACTATTCCCTTCCTGGCCCGTTCTTGTTGCTCCGCCCCCCGACCTCGCGGCGCGGCACGGCACGGAAACTCAATCCCAACCTGAATTGTAGTAGGGTACTGACTTCTTTGTCGAAACCAGAACAACCCTACACCTTTTCTCGGTCACGATACGTCGTACCACGCGCTTGGTTGTGGCAGTGAACCGCTTCTTGCTCGCTCCCACCCTTGACAGTTGACCCAACGTGCAAGGAATGAGCCACACTCCTGGTGGACACCCAGTTCTCGCCAGTCATTTCCCGAACGACTGTTCCCTTGTCCAGAAACTCTCTCGATAGCTCCGAATATCCGCGGTTCTGGTCCCGCATTGAACGCACTGCACGGCTGGCCGTAGGGCTGAGGACCCCTACAATGGGCCGGACGGGAGCATCACACGACGTCACCGCCGTGCCAAGCCATAGCACAGTTGAGCCGAGTCGAACCATGCCAGGCAGAAGAGATGAGAGGATACCATGGCACGTGCGACCCGTCGCCGGTCCATCACGCTCGGTCATGACTACTCTGTGAATGCCTTAGTACATATGGATGGCCTCGCCCTCCTGCCTCAGGTTCGGTTCCACCTTGCTGTCACCATCTACACAGCATCGTCTGCCAGTCACGGCCCATACTACCATGGAGACACCCACACCAGCGACCTACTACTGGGTACAACGCCTTGGCCGTCGTCTCTACGGTCGGAAGAGCCAGCTGTTAGACTCTTGTCGGTCCCGCCATTGTACCAGCACGCAAGAAGCACATTATCAACACCATGCCTACCATCGCGTTCCATCACCACACGCACAAGATCTACTACGCGTCAAGACCAACGGACATGGCCAACTACAGTGCCGCGGATGTGACCAGATTACTTACCTCCTTCGCTGGGCAGAGGCTGAGCGGAGGAAGGACCCAAACCACAAGGGCATCTCTCCCAAGCGCATTGTCCACAACAGCTACGTCGAGCTCGATCTGTGCGCAAGGATTTCCAACTGCGACGCCTGCCAAATTGTCCGCCGTGCTCTCCTATTAGATCAGATCACCGGCCGGGATGCTGAACGCTTACGACACACGGATAACCAGTGGCCAGTCCAGGTAGCTCTAGACATACGGCCTGGAGGCGACAGTCTCCAGGTTACCATTGAGAAAGGATCCGGGATTCCTTTATTTTCTGCAACGGTCGTCCTCAGTCAGAAGCCATGCCTTGCTGTCGGAAAGAAGACCAAAGCACCTTCCGCAGCCTCCAGGCTTCGGCCCAACTTTGAAGAGCTACGTCAAGTCGTCAGCAACTGTCATAACAACCACCAGTGCTCGTCTCGATACCGTTGGAACAGCAGGAATCCGTCGTGGCTGCTGGAGATTCTAGGCGACGGAAACGTCCGAGTGGTCCCGGGTCCTGATCATTTGGTTCCCTATGTCGTCCTCAGCTACTCTTGGGGAGATCCCACCACAATGCCGGCGGAAGAGTGGGCCAGGATCAAGGGTGCCTCTACCAAAACAGTCAATGGCGTGCCCGCACCAGAACGCACAAATCCATTTCCTCGATCGATTTTGCCAGAAACCATGCAAGATGCCATCGCTATCACCCAGGAACTGGATTTCAAGTACATTTGGATCGACAATGTATGTATCCCCAAAGGCACCGATTGGGACACCGAGGCTTCCCTGATGCACGAAGTCTACGGGAACGCCGCATTTACCCTGCTGGCCTCTTCGAGCACAAAAGCAACCGAACCCATGTTATACGACCGTCTTGCGTGGCTACAAGAACCGAAGCCCTGTAAACTGCGGAACCACTTCCTCTATAACACGCAAAAACCCCTCCACGAAGTCCGCCTCGACCCTCCAGCATCGCAGCGTGCCTGGACCCTCCAAGAAGAGCGTCTTTCTCCCAGAATTCTCTACTGGACCGGTCAACGCTGGTATTGGTCCTGCCCCGAGCACCAAACCGTCGAGTCTTCGCCCCTTGACCTCCCTTCGCCTGCTTGTACCTCAGAGGACCAATCATGGAGTCCACCACAACGGTTCCTTGATGTCTGTCGTATTGGTGACTTCCAGAGCATTGATCAGGAATGGCTCGATATTGTTGAAGCCTACACGCGGCGCGACCTCGCGCACTCTGCCGATCGTTTCCTTGCCATATCGGGCCTGGCCGTCCGGTTTCTTGAAGCCAAGATGGACGGAGGTGATAAAACACGTGTCGGCGAGCAATACTTGGCAGGGTTGTGGCGAGAAGATCTAGCTAGACACTTGTCGTGGTCGGTTGCAAGCGCTGTGGATTCAAAGGGGAGTCATCAAGACGTTGCGCCATCATGGTCGTGGGCTTCATTGCCGCTATGCGTCAACACAAAAATGAGACATGCATTTAGGCAGTCGCCACACTTTCAGTTCTTGGGAGTCCGTCAATTCAGTTTTGACCACACCGCCGTAATGCCAACCGCCACCCTTAACCAGCAAGTCATCACCGACCCTCGCCTTCGCAGTAAGTTGGTTGAGCAACAAGGCCGCACTGTCAAGCAGATCGAGATAAAGGGTCGCTTCCGCCGCTTCATTTCCGAAAGCTCGTGCGCCGTATCGTGGGAAGCCATCGAATGGAAACGCGGTGATCGCGTCGGCTTCAACTTTGAAGAGTTTCCCGGCCGCGATCTACATTCGAGGAACCACGATGATGGTCGCATAGTCTCCAAAGACGCCCATGGTGGGGAGGTGGTGGGGCAGCTGGATTATCTCGTTCCGCCTTCTGGCGCTTACTTGGCGAATAAAAAGAGTGACAGTGTGGCTTTGGCAGACGGGGAGGAAACGGAGCTCATGTGCCTTGAGCTCGGAGAGTTGGCGATGTTGTTGCTTCAAAGAAATCCCGGATCCGCAGATACTTGGAGGAGAGTAGGTGTTTGTATTGGTTACGAACAGAGGAAAGGTTTCTTTTATGGTTGTGAAAGTAAGACACTTATCCTGGCTTGACCGCTTTAATTTGATAGGTTGGACGAGGCAAAGGATGATCGTCTATTATACCCTAGTCATGACATGCCCAACACCGAATGTACAGCAGTAATTAGATTATGTACCTAGATATGGAAGTTGCCAAGAAATGGGCCTTGTGCCACAAGTAAATGATCGAGCAGGTACTCAACACAAGTTCATACATCTACCGAACATGAGAAATTGCTGGAAAAGGTGGAACATTAGGCGTAGATTTTCCATCCCGACTCGTCCGGTTCGAATTTGCGGGCCGGTGTTGAGGCTGGTCAGTATGCACTGCCTCAACCTTGTAGGGGAAGCCTCCTTCAAAGTGAAGACGGAAGAAACAATTGTAGTGTTCTAGAGGTATAACCCTCTATTGCGCGGGTCCCAGGATGTTGGCCTCGTAAATGGTGGTCGACTTGCCAGTGTTCAAGTTCTGGATCTATACCCCATACACATCATTGTCAGAACCAATGATCAGACCGCTCAGTGGCCAGCTACTTTCCGGTAAGACGACTGAACATACCTCATATCTCGGGTTCTCTGGGCTGGCATTGACATTGCGGCCGGCTTGGTGACCGGGCTCGGTCAAAACGTCCTTCACTTTGCCCACACTCTCCGAGGTGTGCGAGTCAGGCCCTTTTCGATGCAAGATATCAGTGGATGGCATAAAAGATGATAAGCCACGTAAATGAAAACTTACCTCCCACGGGCTTGTAGCGGACAGTCTGACCTGGCTTGTACATGACCATATTGAAGTCTTCTTGGATATCGAGCTAGCGGGAATGGGCAGCAGCGGCAAGTGCTTGTCTGACACAATGGAGCTGAGTGTTCCACCAAAGTTCCTGGGAAGGCGAGAGGTGAATGGTGATGACCCGCTCCCGACTTGGTTATCTATATACCACGCGGTAGGCAGGTACCATGTTGGTCCCTCCCGCTCCATCTCCAACAAGAGAGATGCGAGCTTGATGGACATCTGATATCATCTTGACATCGACGAAACCATCATTTCAACGACACCAGATGAGTCCATGGTGGAGTGGTGATAGGAGCCAGCCGAACTGATTCGGATGCTACTCCCGTCCAAGGTTTCTAGTGTTGAACACCAGTTGCGTACGTGTAGCGGCGCATCAGCATCGATCACAGTCTGACGTCATCGGGTCTTGATGAGCGTTTATTTTTCGAACCTTTGGCATCGACTGCAGTTCAGATGTAGCCTTGAAGTATGCACCTATGTAGGTAGGTAGGTCCCATTGCAATGTACACCCCATGGTTGTTGTTGGTTGTTTCCCAAACTGTCGGCTGGCAACGATGCTGCCTACTAGTACGTGGGCTGGACGACAGGACAGGGAATCGGTAAACGTTGGCGGCGTTCAGTTAATGATGAACCAATGTGTACAAAGTACAACCTGCTTTGGGAGCATTGTAATTGGTTTAATCCGACTGGTTAGAGTTCCCGTGGGTACCAATCGACCTAGATCCGCTGATTTATTTCCATAAAGTGCGTCTTTGTCAAAGAATTTCAAGTGTTCCAATATCGATGCTGGTTCTGCTAACGTCCAACTTTGTACCATAGAGGTACAAATTCCCCGCTCTCAAACTCCCGCGTCCCGCCATGGATCCTGCGAGATGGCCCCGCAATAAACCTCATGCAGTGATTAGGTCGTCACCTGTACCTCTACACCATCGTACCCTGGACCTGCTCACAGAACCCGCATCGTCCTCGCCAACCCCAAACCATGATTTCAATGAACACATCGGTTCTCAGGCCAGCCAGTGATGTCTCGTTCCTGGGGCACGCGGGTTGCGGGTTACAGTCAGTGTAACGAAGCAATGCTATCCTGGACCACCACGTTCTTCAGCGATTCGAAATATCAACCCGGTCCGCCAATGTGACGTTCGAGCGGCCCGCTGGCGTACCCGAACATGCGTTCGCGAGAAAAAGGGTAATGGTGATCACTTTCCCGCCGAGATGCGGATGAAGCCATCCGCCATGGTTTGACCGCTGTGAACGTTGTTTCTCGCCCGCTACCGGAAATACGTGTTGTTATGGCATCCGATTGCGTGCTCGGGCACACCAGACCTTACCCTGTTCATTCCGCTTTTGGTTTGGTGTAACTTCTCTAGATTCTATTGAGATTGAAGTGTAGACTTCAGGGACAGCAGAAGATGATAAAACCCATCACCGCCCACGCCGAATTCTCACGTCGAGCCTGTGACCGCTAGCCGCTTCTCAGATCGCCTTCCTTGGTTCATGATGTATCCAAATCTCGGGTTCCTTTTTGGCATCGGGGCTCTTTTCCGTCTTGCGTCCGCCTCTTTCGAAGGCAACCTCAACTACCAATCCCCATCCGCCCGCTCGTCACACGTCAACCTCGGCCTCTCCCTTCCCCTCATCACTTCCCGCACGTTGAAACGCTCGTCTGTGGCTTATCAACCCTCGGAGTTGAACTTTACTCACGGAGTTGCTTCGGGAGACCCTTACCCCAACTCCGTGATTCTCTGGACTCGCGTAGCGCCCACTGCTGAGTCGGATAGGAGCAATGTAACCGTGGCGGGGACGGTCGAGCTCTACAGCCATGAAACGGAGAAGTACGTCAAGGCAGACGCGAATCCTATTTGTATCGAGTGGAAGATATGGGAGTTGCAGAAGGGACACAACGGGACTGTGAAGGGCCCACTAGGACGCAGCGGGAAGGCGTACACAACGAGTGATATCGACTTCACAGTCAAGGTTGGTTCGCCCCTCAGATTAACTGGATGAGCAAGCCGCTGACAGCGATCAGGTCGAAGCTCACGGCTTGAAGCCTTGGACGCTTTACAACTACCAGTTCAACGTCTGCGGCTCCAACAATTCTAGCCCTGTGGGGAAAACAAAGACTGCTCCGGCCGAGAATGACGAGGTCGACGAGGTCAAGCTAGCTGTCTTCTCTTGCTCAAACCATGGTGCGTCCTAGCGGACAGGGAAGATGGGATTGTCTAGGTGCCCTTTGTTCATAATTGCTAACCTGTTATCTACTAGCCAAGGGCTTCTTCAACGTTTACGGCAATGCTGCCCGGAAAGACAAGCATGACTATGTGGTCCATCTCGGCGACTACATATATGAAGATGCTTCAAGCGGTCCGAGAGCACACAAGCCCGCAAACAAGCTGTTCACTCTGTACGACTATCGGACACGCCATGGACAGTACCGAACAGACAACGACCTGCAGCTTTTGGCCCAGAACTATGCGTGGATTCCCACCTGGGATGACCACGGTAAGTCCCGTTGCATGCCGTGCTCTGTACAACCTCTAACCACCCTGACCGTATAGAATTTGCCAACAATGGCTACCGGGACGGCTTCTCCGCGCTTAACAACACCGAAGCCTCCTTTAGGAATGACGGTCCCTCCATCAGTGTCGATACGCGCAAGATCAACGCTGTGCGCGCCTACTTTGAGTGGATGCCGATCCGCCAGGTAGACCTCGACGATAACTTGCGGATCTGGCGCAACTTCAAGTTGGGCAAGCTGTTGGATCTTATCATCATCGATACTCGTAACTACGATCGAAGTATCACCAGTACAGGGAACAATGATGCCTATATCGAGGCGATTAGGGATGATCCTTCGAGAACGCTAATGGGAGGCCGCCAAGAGAAGTGGTTCTTTAGGCAGTTGAGCGAAAGTAAGCAGAGAGCGGCAACGTGGAGAGTGGTGGGGAACCAGATCGTGTTTTCGAGGATTCTTGACTCCAAAGGAGAACTGACAGGGACCGATAATTGGAGTGTAAGCGTCTCTTCGTTATATCGAACTTCAACTGCATCTAACATGCGGCTTTAGGGGTACGTCGCCAGCAGGAACCGCACCCTTCAGCATTTGTACGACAACAACATCTCAGACAACGTCTTTCTGTCCGGCGACAGTCACCAGAACTGGGTAAGTACTATTTTCCCATTACCTCCTCCGACACTAACAGTCTTTTGTAGGTTTCTGACCTCGCCTGGCTTGGCACAAAGCCCTATGATGCCGCCACCGGCTCGGGAGCCATCGGCGTCGAGTTCGCAGGAACAGCCGTCACCTCTTCCGGCTCCAGCGGTACCATTGCCACCGTACAAAAGGCGACCAAGACCAAGGTCGACAACAATCCAGAGTTGCAATGGCAAGAAGGGTACTACCGCGGGTACTTCCATCTATCAATCAAGAAGTCCAAGATCGATGCCCAGTTCTTTGGTTCGCCCAGCGTAGCCACCCGCAATGGCTGGGACCTGCCTCTGGCAAATTTCACCGTGCTTGCTGGTGATGATCACTTGCAGAGACCGGTTGGGGGCGGAAGAGTTGAGGCAGGGAGCTTGAAGGGAGGTAAGACGGTGGGGACGAACGTGACGCTTGATACAAACGGGTGGAAGTGGGAGACGGTAGGGTTTGAGAAGATGTTTGTGATATAATCTACGACGGCACAGCGTCAGCTGTTCGTCGAAGGTTAACTGTCGCTCGTCTTAACAGCGAGCTGCTTTGTCGCAAACACTAGAAGTCTAGAAGCCTAGGGCAGCAATGGCCACACCCTCCGCAGCATCTTCCCAGTGTTACGGAACTTGTCTGGATCAATGCTGTGACGTGCCGACACCTCCCCCAACTTGTGGTCCTTCGCCGGGTTGATTACTTCCCTCACCCCCTTCCATTCCTTCGCTCCACACAACCTCGCGGCTGTCCTATAGAACCCCCACCTCAATGTGTATTTGGCGACCATGTAGATCAGGGGTGCAGTATGACGCGCCAAGGAAAGAGGAGGAAGTCTGCGCACGGGGAAGCCGTCGTGTCGAGCACGGCTTATGGAGAAAAAGACGTCGGCAGTCTCGCTAAGTCGGCTGACAGTGGTAGTAGCAGAGCGCAGCTCGCGCAGCTCTTCGATGAGTCGGGCGCGGTACCAAGTCGGTGGGGATTGGCAGGGCAGAGAGAGGACGGCGTGCCATCTATTGAGGAGGCGGTGGAGGAGGCGGTCCAGGGCTGTACGAGTGGGCTGGCGCATTGTTTGTCGGGTCTGCGGCGGATGGCCGAAGTGTTTGTCGGTGTCGCGCGGATGGTCGGGCACGATTTGTCGAGCCAGTTCTTGAGCATACACGAGCACGCGACAGGGTTGATTAGGTATGTTCTATTACACTGTTATCATCGTGGAAGGGCGGAGGAAAACGTCGGAAGAAGATGACGCTTACGTGGTGAGGCCGTGACCGACAGTCGACGGGAGATTCTGTTGTCGATTTGGTGATGCAGCAAGGTTGAAGAGAAAGTGGCTATATGGTAAGGAGCTGAGAGTCAACAGACCAAACACGCGATTGAGTGACGAATGCCGCGGGACAGAAACTGAACCTTGATGGTGCCGCCCGTTTTTCTAGCGGGGTTGGGGACGGGCACTTGCATTCCGCCACCGGGCAGCCGCCCCGTACATTGTGATCGGAAAGTACAACGAAAGCAGCCCAGACATGGCACACCGACGGACAACCACGCCGGACCACGGCCTAAGGTACCTCAGCAATCATCAAACACGCCACCTACATGTACAGCACACATGTCAACGCGAATAAAACAGCTATAAAGCACCATGATTTCCAAACAGTAGGCCTCCGCGCATACACCATACGGCACCGCTGCTGGAGTCTCTCAAGGAAAAACCCGGATATTCCTTGCGCACAGTAACTCTGTCAGTGCCAGTGAAGCAGCAAACAGTCAGGGGCGCCTGAGGAAAAGAAACAACGGGAATTAGTCGTGACGATGCGAACATGGAGATATCTGGACAAGCACAGGTATTTAACACCACCACCCCGTGTGCCTTGCTATCGTTTTCTCAACCACTTCCACCATCCCCAAGAAAGCCTTTCAACCTTAACATTCACTACTTCTCCACCCGTCTCTAGACACGCAGCTCTTGTCATGATGTGTTCCGAAGCTGATCAGTCCCCGACAACAGTCGCTGCGCCTCCAACTCCCTCCAAGCCTATCATTGTCGGCATCTATGGCCTCCCGGGTTCCGGCAAGTCGACCGTCCTCGAACACCTTTCACGGGCAGTCCCAAGCAATATGTTCTCCGTCTACGAAGGCTCTTCAGTCATTGCCTCTCTGATGGGCCCAAACCGTGGACTGGGCGACTTCATTGCCTTGACCGAAGAAGAGAAAACTCGGTACCGCGAGCTCGCCATCGCCCAGATCCGTGACGAGTGCCAAAGGTCGGGCCTGGCCGGTGTTGTTGCCGGGCATTACATGTTTTGGCCCAAGGGTAGCGAGCAGGGAACGGTGGTCTGGACAAAAGACGACCAAGATACGTTCACACATATCATCTACCTTCAAGTGGCCGCGGAAACGCTTTGCCGTCGTCGACAACGCGACCAGGTCAGGCAGCGCGAGGCAGTGACACCTGGACACCTGCACAAATGGCAAGAGGAGGAAATGCGGCAGCTGGATACCTTGGCAAAGATTTTGGGAATTCACTTTGAAGGTCTCAAATATGACACGCCGGCAAAACATTTGGCATCCGAGATATCACACAAGCTCCACGAGTTCCGCACGGAATCGGAACACTGCAACCACATACGAGTACTGGCCGCAGTGGATGAGATGCTAGCCAACGTCACGGCTTGCCGCGATACCAGGGTGACCACGGCCCTGGTATTTGACGCAGACAAGACGCTGACTGCCAAGGATACCGGCAGAGACTTTTGGGAGCGTCAATCCAGTAGACCCATTGGCAAGGACGAGCTGACCCCGGCCGAAAAGATATTCCGCGAGCACGGCTACAGCTATGAGGCTTTCCGCCAGGTAGCCATGTTGTACAGTGACACCCACAGAGATTTCGAGAGGGTCTGCCATGATGTTGCGAAGGAGACCACTCTGTATCCCGAGTTCCTGTCTATACTGCGCCGTGTCCGAAAGCACGAGCACGTCATGGCTGTGGTGGTGACTTGCGGGCTACGCCGGGTATGGGAGCTTGTGATGGAGAAAGAAGACTTGGGAAGGCACATCGAGATTATTGGCGGCGGGGACATTCGCGAGAAGTTGATCATCACTGCCAAATCCAAAGAAGGCGTTGCCAACCGTTTGCGAGGTCCTCCTCATAACCTTCGTGTGGTGGCTTTTGGAGACGGCCCGCTGGACCTACCAATGCTCCGGGCTGCTGACGAAGGCGTTGTAGTCGTGGGCGAGGAACTGACTAGAAGCAAGTCGATGGAGGACGCTCTCTCCATAGCCATTGAACATGTCAACACTAACGACGCACCACACAGTCACAATCTCCGTCAAACCCTCCTCCCGTACACCGTCACTCCCCGTCTCGACACTGTCCGGCTTCCTGTGGTCGACCTCTCTGATCCAACCGACCCATTCAATCAATCCCTTTTCGACGGCCCGCCCTCCAACCTTTTGCATACTAGCAACCGCCCGTCCGCCAGGGTCCTGATGACCCCAACCCGCGACGCTAACATCTCTGGTCCAGCGTTGAGAGAAGCGCATCGTCGCATTAGCTGGTACCTAGCCACGGAGTTGATTACGTCTCTTATAGGCCTGGAAGAGTACTCAATCCCTCACGTCCAAGGACACGCTACCACCGGCCATCGCCTCCTCCGCGAACAAGACACAACCATCGTTGCCTTAATGAGGGGCGGAGAGCCCATGGCTTTTGGCGTCAACGAAGCCTTTCCGCTCGCTATGTTCTTGTACGCTAAAACACCGGAGGATGTTAAGCCTTACTACTTATCTAATTAATACACAATTATCTTAATAGACTCGGTAGTAAATAATAGGAAGATAGTATTAGAGTTTCGTAAGCGTATACGTACTATAGATGAAGGGAGGGATATCCACTTTGTAGTAGTCGCGGGGGTTATATAGGTGGAGGCTATAGGTATAGGGTATAAATTGGGACGGCTCTTAAGGAAAGATAGTAAGTTCTATTTGCTAGCCTTGAGGATGTCGGAGAATAAATTCACTGGGAGGGGAGGGATAGACATAGGTAACCGGCTATTTAGAACTATACAATTGGAATAAACTAGATTTAAGTATTATTAAATAATAAATATAAGTAATTACTTGGAAATTTTTTTAATTTAAATAATACTTATTATTAAAGAGTGTACTTAATAGAAATAATTACCTACTATTAAAATTATATTCTATAGTCTAATTACTAACGCCGTCCTATACCTAACTATATTAAACTATATTAAAATTCTAATAATATTAGACTTTAATTTCTAACTTCTAAAGTCAATATAAATAAAGGAGGCTATTATAATAGCACGATTCTAGGCACAGGCAGGGCTGGGCCAAAAGAAGTCGATTTGAATAAGATAGTAAAACTAAAGAGTAGCAGAGAGGGAACGGCCAAAGGGTTAGGGTTAGGGTTAGGGTTAGGGTTAGGGTCAGGGTTAGGGTTAGGGTTAGGGTTAGGGTTAGGGTTAGGGTTAGGGTTAGGGTTAGGGTTAGGGTTAGGGTTAGGGTTAGGGTTAGGGTTAGGGTTAGGGTTAGGGTTAGGGTTAGGGTTAGGGTTAGGGTTAGGGTTAGGGTTAGGGTTAGGGTTAGGGTTAGGGTTAGGGTTAGGGTTAGGGTTAGGGTTAGGGCTCT